AAAAATCTTTCCAAATAATTCCATTAACCTTACTTACACTTTAACTTTTTATAGTGCTGCCTGCTCTCTCAAGGCGCCAATAGATCTCTGACCACTTCTGCCTCCCTCAATGTCGCCCCAAAAGAGGTATCCAGTATTCTTGAGGAGCGCATCCTCGGTCAAACTATGGATCTCAATATTGCGGAGACGGGACGAGTTCTCAGCGTTGGGGATGGGATTGCTCGCGTTTATGGTCTAAACAATGTGCAGGCTGAAGAGATGGTGGAATTTTCTTCTGGCCTTAAGGTAACTTATCTTTAGAGCTTCATTTAGCAGGGCATGGCTTTGAATTTGGAGGCTGACAACGTTGGTGTGGTAGTCTTCGGTAACGATAAGTTGATTAAGGAGGGTGATATTGTCAAGAGGGCTGGCGCCATTGTCGATGTACCTGTGGGGGAGGAATTACTCGGCCGAGTTGTCGATGCTTTGGGCAACCCAATTGACGGTCAAGGGCCAATCAAGGCGAAATCTAGACAGCGTGTTGGCATTAAAGCGCCAGGTATAATTCCACGTACTTCTGTCAAGGAACCAATGCAAACAGGAATGAAGGCAGTCGACAGTTTAGTCCCTATCGGGCGTGGTCAACGAGAACTTATCATTGGTGATCGTCAAACTGGTAAAACCGCTATCGCTATCGATACTATAATAAACCAGAAGCGATTTAATGATGAGCAAGATGAAAAGAAGAAGCTATATTGCATTTATGTCGCCATTGGACAGAAGAGGTCCACAGTTGCTCAACTTGTCCGTCGTCTTACAAACGCGGATGCTATGAAATACACCATCATTGTATCTGCCACTGCCTCAGATGCGGCTCCGCTTCAGTATTTAGCTCCCTACTCTGGCTGTGCTATGGGGGAGTACTTCCGTGACCACGGAAAACACGCTCTCATAATCTATGATGATCTATCTAAGCAAGCTGTTGCCTACCGCCAAATGTCTTTGCTCCTTAGGCGCCCTCCCGGACGTGAAGCCTATCCCGGCGATGTTTTCTACCTTCATTCGCGTTTGCTAGAACGTGCCGCTAAGATGAACGATGCCTATGGGGGAGGTTCACTGACGGCCCTTCCCGTTATCGAAACTCAGGCTGGTGATGTGTCTGCCTACATACCGACTAATGTCATCTCGATTACTGACGGACAGATCTTCCTTGAGACCGAACTTTTCTATAAGGGTATTCGCCCCGCCATCAATGTCGGCCTCTCAGTTAGTCGGGTTGGCTCCGCTGCCCAGACGAAAGGCATGAAGCAGGTTTCTGGACGCATGAAGCTAGAACTTGCTCAATACCGTGAGGTGGCGGCTTTTGCTCAATTTGGTTCTGATCTTGATGCAGCAACACAATCTCTCCTCAACCGCGGCGTTCGTTTGACTGAATTACTTAAACAGGGCCAATACGGTTAGCAACTAGTTTTACGCCCCATCCTCTGATCATTTTTAATTTATTTTATTTTTAACATCTTTTAGTCCCTATGGCCATTGAAGACCAAATTGTTGTGATTTATTCGGGCGTTCGTGGCCACCTAGACAAAATGGAACCTGGCAAAATCACCAAATTCGAAAAGGCCTTTTTGGCTCACGTTAAGGCCAACCATCAGGATATCCTGAAAAGCATTCGTGATACGGGCGAAATAAAACCGGATGTGGATGAAAAATTGAAGAAGATTGTGGTTGATTTTGTTGCAGGGTACAAAGCGTGAGCTACAACGGGATAATTCGGCCCGCTCCTACCTTGTTTCGAGGATAATTAGTTATGTAAACTAACCTAGATGGCTTTGGTGCTCTTTACAATATTAATTATACAAACGGTCTTGTATTCTTTTTTCGCCGCCAGCATGTATTTAGTCTATAGCATATTTGCCAATATACTATCAACCACTGATGTTTAGAAAGACTGGGTACGTTGCATGTTTGGGCTTGTCTCATTGATAAATCTCAAGGACTACTCTTTGTCGGGGCTGAGGTTCCGATTGGTTTCTGTGCATATGCTGGTGCTCCAACCTCCGCTTCATCATTGTGCGCCAAGGCTCGTGTTTTAGACTCGTCACTTGGTGCTCCGATCCCACAGGCTTCTTTATTCAAGCGTTCATTGAGGGCTCTCAGGGCAAGTATTCTATAAAAAAATACAAAATAGTGGTTCATTATCGAGTATGATAAAAGTCTGGGCGGTTTCAGGTTGTCCCTCTAAATTTTTGTCCGCGATGTACAATGCTATTAGCCTGTTCACGTTCCTGTCTTAGTCATTGCAGACATAGAATTCGGCTATGGTTCCCAAGAGCCTGTCCCTTCACTAGGAGTTTTTTTATAACTTAAATGCAGCATGTGTAATTTAAAACGGCCTGGTTTGTAAAAAAATTAGTAACATCATGTATTATGATTAACACGTAAATACAGCATTTTCGGTAGGAACGGCCTCATACGGGATTAATTAATATAGGATGAACCATTGACTTGTGAGGGGGATTAAGTTGGATTCTCCTTGTCCGACGCACTCTTCTACTATAGTTAAATTCATGAGCGCCGTACCGAGGATTTGGTACACTATCAGACGTTTCACCGGCATCGTCAGATGCAAGTGAGGCTGACCTTTGACCAGCTTTCCCTTGTGCTATCACGCCTGTTTCTATCCTGGCCCTCTCATTTACTCCCTACTCTCGTCTCACTCTCGCCATATCACAACTGACTTGTTTCTATTCTACTCTTGGCGCCATGGTAAACTTGCTAGAAGGGCACATTTCTTGAGGAGTGGAATATGAACAAGTCAGGAGTTGTGATAAGGCGAGAGTGAGATAAGAGGGGCCAGGACAGAAATATGAGTGAAAGCGCAACGGTTTCGGCTTGATGCTTGGAATGGCAAGACTCACTGGCGATACCGGCGTAACGTCCGGGACAAAGCGTGTCCAATTAAGTCCTGAGAACACGGCTAAGTTGCGAAAATGAGGTCAGCTCACATCTGTACATTGAAAGGAGGCTACTACCAAAATGGAGGCCACAACACTACTCCGGTGCAGATGGGCTAAACATTTCTGGAAGTGCAAATTCAGACGAATATAAGCATACTTTGAGGTCATACTATCGATAATAGCCATAACAAATGATGAAATTGGCTGACAGTGCCAAATGAAGTGAAGAATCCAGAGATGTGATCCAAACAAGTGTCTATAAGCAAATGGATGCTGGCATGAGGGACCAA